AGTACAAACTTGTATATGCACTGAGAGACCAAAACATTCACGTAACTTGCTGTATTGTGATATTCGCTTTACTGGGGTGGTCTGGAACCGAACCTGCCTGTACAGGAGTTAATATAGGAGTAGCTGGTAGAACAAAATGGTTAAGCGTTGGACTACTAATCAAAAGCTTGGAGGGTGAACACACCCAGAGGTGCCTCCGAAGAAAGGCCGGGCAATCTGCTTCCAAAAGCTCACCGCCTTGAAAACCCTGTGGAGCAGTCTCCTCTGCACACATGGGGTCAGCACATGTTGGCATCTACTTGATCACAACTCCTTTTGGTTTGGTTTTTATAATATCTTGCTGTTGTCAGGTGCCCTCCAGTCGATTCCGACTCACAGCAACCCCATGTGACAGAGTGCAACTGCCCCATAGACTTTCCTGGCTGTAATCTTTACGGGAGCAGACAGCCAGCTCTTTATCCTGCAGAGGTGCTGGCAGGTTCAAACCACCCACCTTTCGGTAAGCAGCTGAGCACTTAACCATTGCACCACCAGGGCTCCTTTTATAATACATCGTTTCTTCTATTTCTGACATTTTTCTCTCGAAAAGACATTTCAATCCCAGATAAATAGATTTTATTTTTTATTGTGCTTTAGATGAAGATTTACAGAGCAAATTAGTTTCTCATTAAACAATTAATACATGTATTGTTTTGTGACATTGGTTGCCAACCCCACAACATGTCAACACTCTCCTCTTCTCGACCTTGGGTTCCCCACTGCCAGCTTTCCTGGCGACTTCTGCCTTCTGGTCCTTGCCCCTGGGTTGGTGTGCCGATTTGGTCTCGTTTTGTTTTAGGGGCCTGTTTAGTCCTTGGCTAAGGGTGAACCTCAGGAGGGACTTCAGTACTGAGTTCAAAGTGTGTCCGGGGGCCACACTCTTGGGGTTTCTCCAGTCTGTGTCAGACCAGTAAGTCTGGTCTTTTTTATGAATTTGAATTTGTTCTGTATTTTTCTCCCACTCTAACCCAAACCTTCTGTTGTGATCCCTGTCAGAGCAGTTGGTGGTGGTAGCCGAGCACCATGTAGTTCTGAGCTCGGGCTGGTGGAGGCTGTGGTTGTTGTGGTCCATTAGTCCTTTGGACTCATCTCAGATGAATAGATTTTAGAATATAAAGATTTGCCAAGTCTTTTGCAGTGAATTTATAGGCTCTTCTGCTGAATTTTGGCATTTGAGAACTAATGTATATTTCTTCACTGGGAGAAGGCCTGTCTCTGTGTCACCACCCCAGGCAAAGGCAGCGTTTCCCTGTTCTACAGCTCAGAGTTACTTTTTCCATGAAGAACAATAAGGTGATGAATGGATTCCCTAAAAACCTGGTCACGTTGTAATGACTTTCTGAGGGGTTTAAATGCCTTCTGCTTGGAAAGGTTAAGTGTGAGTCATACAACAAAGACTTTTCAACAGGACTTTTCCTTCTGTGGAAATTGTACTAAAATGAAATATTAGCCATTTATCTTGATGTTTACTATCATTTTTTTCCCCTTCTTCCTCTCGTAACAACTGACAGATTTTGGCTATTAATGCAGAAAAAAAAGACGATTTTGATCCAAGTGCCCTGTTAAATATCACAGCTCCATTTAACTTCTAAAACCTGAAATAAAATCTCTAAGCAGCTCCACTAGCTGTGGTAGGGAAAAAGCTGGCACTAATTGGATGAGAGAGGAAAGGGGCTCTTTCACTTCACCTGTCATTGGAGGCTGGAGGCAGTAAGTTCAGGACGCGGTGGACGGGCTTGATGGTTCTGAGCGAGCAGCCAGGCTTAGAGAGCAAGAGGTCAGGGAGGCATGCCGTGTGGTGTTGGTTACATGCTGGCCGGGCATCTTAGGTCGCAGAAGATGTACCAAACCAGTTGCGGTTGAGTCATCTCCGACTCACAGCGACTCCATGGGTGTCAGAGTAGAGCTGTGCTCCAGTGGCTGATTTTTTTGGAAGTGGATCACGAGGCCCTGCCCCAGCTGGTTTTCAGGAGCAGGAGGTGACAGAAGAGACGGGCCAATCACGTTTGTCAAGAACCACAAGCAGGGATCAGTGTCCAAACACATCTCTTCAGATGGAGAAAAGAGCCAAACCCAGCAAGCCAAAAACTGAGCAGGATAAATGTTCTGTCCCAAAACCCCTCCAGCCTATGTCCGCCATCAGTGTGACAGCTGCTGAAAACGAACCTAACAGTAACCTTTAAAAGCGTGCTAACATGCCTCTCCTGGTGCTTGTTTGAACGTGACCTTTCCTGGTTTGGTCAGAGACACACATTTGCATCTGAGAGACATGATTGTTCCAGCAGAAAATCAAAAAGAGCCAAAACTCAGCTTTTGATATCCACAATGGGATTTTTGAGTCCACTGCAAGACTCGGAAGCCAGATTTGGTCAGAAGAAATTGCTGCTTCTCTACATTCTAAACACTTTCTCAAGAGGTGAGCCCGGTGGGCTCAGACACAGCAGAGTCAGAGGATAAGCCGCGATGTGAAGGGGAAGGGGCTGTGACGGGAGGGGAGCTTCAGCCAAACAGGACAGAGGAGGACAAAGTCCTGTGTGTGCAGAGGGAGAGAGGCCAGGCGAGCAGAGACTCCTGGGGCAGGGCCCCTCTTCCAAGGCCTGGCCTGGAGGGCTCCGCAGCCCACTCAGGAGGGCAGCCAGCCTGGAGGGCTGGCCGTGTTTAGGAAAACGGTGGCCTCTGGAGTCAGCATGTCTAACTCTGCTAAGAGGAGAAGGGGTGCAGGGTGTGAGGGGAGGCCCCACAGGGGAGGTGACCTTTGAGCTGGTCCTGAGAGAGGCGCAGGCATGTTCCAGGCAGAGAAGGGCCTCAGTGTGGGGGTCCAGCACATGGGAGGGCCAGGAGGCGGGACCCCATGGGTCCCGCACGTGCCAGGGCCAGGAGGGGGGACCCCACGGTCACGCACGTGCCAGGGCCAGGAGGGGGGACCCCGCGGGTCCGGCAGGTGGGAAGGCCAGGAGGGGGACCCCGCGGGCAACATCGGGAGCAGAGGCCGGGCACTGGGGAAAGGGCAGGTGTCAGATCACGGGCCGGGGGCCAAGCTAAGTGTCCAGGCTTGATCCCGAGGGCGACAGGAAGCCGTGGCACAGTGTGAGGCAGAGGGGGGATGCGAGCAGATTTCAGCTTTTGAAGCCTGAGTCTGATAGCAGTGCTGACAAGAAGGGTGAGAGACAGGGTCTGAATATTCGTCCACAGGCCCCAACTGGTTGGTAGGCCCAGAGCAGTGACCGACACCCACCACAGCACAACCAAACCAGTCGCCTTCGAGTTGATTCCAGCTCGGGGCACCCCATGTGTGCAGAGTGGATCTGCTCCACAGGGCTTTTGAGGGCCGTGATCTTTCTGAAGCCAATCACCAGGACTTTCTTCTGCGGCACCCCGGATAGGCTCAAATTGCAACCTTTTGGTTAGTAAAGTGCTTAAGCATTGTGTCACCCAGGGTCTCCCCAGATGTCCACATATACTGTAGAATCGGCGCTGGCCTGAGCCCTCCAACAAACTCTACTGTGCGCGCGCACACACACACACACACGCACACACACACGCACACACACACACTCGGCATTGTGGAATGTGCACGCCTGCTTGCAGGAGCATCCAAAGATAAAGAAGTCACAGTCCTTCCTTTTGGAGGACAGCCAGTGTCCCTGAAGCCCAGAGAGGCCCAGAGCTCACCTCTGACTTCTCCAGACCGCTGCCCTCTCTTGTAGCCTCCTCTTCTTCTCAGAAAACCCGAGCTCCCTCCGGCCACCACCCGCTGGTCCAGAAAACCCTCCCTGTCCCCGTCATGGGCGGCAAGCACTCTTATCTGAAGTCGGGGCGGGGCGGGGCTCCTCTTTGCTCTGTCATCTTGCTCCCTCGGCTGTGTGTTGAGAGCTGCCAGTTTTGTGTGTCCAGGACGTGCGTCTGATGAGGCAGGGTTAGAAGGACGTGGGCTGTTTGGTCTGGAAAGGACACCGTCAGGCGCTGAGCCGATCACTGACCTCAGGACTACCCAGCTGCCGTTGAGTCGACTCCAACTCCTGGCGACCTGTGTGTGTCAGAGGAGAACTGGGCTCCAGAAGGTTTTCAATGGCTGATGTTGTGAAGTAGATCACCAGGCCTTTCTTCCAAGGGCTTCTGAGTGGACTGGAACTGCTAGCTTTTTGGTTAGCAGCCGAGCGTGTTAACCGTTTGCCCCACCCAGGGACTCTGACCTCAGGACCAAAAACCCAAAAACCAAACCCGCTGCCATCGAGTCGATTCCAACCCATAGTGACCCTACAGAACGGGGAAGAACTGCCCCCTAGGGTTTCCAAGGAGCAGCTAGTGGATTCAAACTGCTGATCTTTCGATTAGCAGCCGAGCTCTTAACCGCTGTGCCACCAGGTCTCCTTAGGGATTTTTATAGGAAGGAAATGAACCAATCGTTCTCGGTCTGTGAAAGAAGCAGGAAGAGAAACGGGCTCAGGTTAAGAAAGGAAAGTTGGAGTTTGGAGAGAAGGAAGAAAATTCTAGTCCAGAGAATCGCTGTGTGCCATGTGGCCTCCATCCCCGACCTCTGGGAGGAGAAGACAGCGTGGGGGGCAGCCCAGGGGACGGTTCTCCCTCTGGCAGGTGATGGGCTGGGCTTTGCTTGTATAAAGCGCCCCCAGCTCCCTGGGCTCATGATTCTATGATGTCACTGAAGAGAGAAGAATGGGGGGCCCACTCGGCTCCAGCTGCTCGGGTTCCTCTCTCCTTGGGTTCTGATAGTTTTTGGGGTGAGGGGAGGTGAGCTGAGTGATCGCACGCATCCCAGCTCAGTCTCCCCTCCAGCCACCTCAGCCCCACCACATGTATGGAGAGGAATTAGCCAGTGTGAGTCACCGCCACTGACCCAGCACAGCCGCTCCTCCGACACTGCCTGATGGAGAGAGCAGCAATGAAAAGTGCCTTTTGTTCTTCTGTTTCCAGAAAACGTAAAGAACAAGAGAAATACATTCCAACCGAGCTGGAAAAGAGTATCTGGACAACCTGTGACTGTGAGAGTGGACGCGGCGTCTAGCTAAACCCCATGAGCTTTGAAACCACAGCAACAACGTTCTTCGTCATTCTTCAGATTTGCCTCATTTTCATCCTGGTTTTATTGGCGGTTTTTTTGTATAAATGGTATAAATCCATGTGGAGAAATTGGGATCAGATTTCAAGTCACACTAGCAAATATATCTAGAAATAACACAAAACAACTAAAAATAGCAGAACAAATAAGAATGCTGTAGCTATCCACTTTTTCCATTTCAGGGTTTTGGAAATGGTAATTCCTTGTTTAAAAGTGAAGCTCCCGTGTCAATCCTTAAAATCAGGACTATTCTGTTTTTTCTGCCTTTTTTTTCCCAGTTTCCAGAGCAAGGGTGATGAAGAGACAGAAAAAGTGCCTTGTCGAGGTGGTGACGGCGGTGAAGATTGTTCAGCTGCAACCATGGAGACTAACAATTCAAGAGACCCAGAGAAGTAAGTCTGTCTCTCAGGATGTGGAGAAGGACTTTTTTTTTTTTTTTTTTA